AACTCCTTAGCCCCTTAGATAAGGAATATCAACAGATAAATATGTTCCTGAATTTTCTCCAATTTTTTGATTGCCACCAGATGAATCGGGTACTAAATGGTAATAACCGCTTACTTGATGTTGTTGTTACTAATAGTAAATGTAGGGTATATGAAAGTACTTTCAGTTTTGTTGACATTGATACACACCATCCTCCACTTATGATAGAAATTGAGTTTAAAACCCCTAGACAAAGATATTTGACAGGGAATGGGAATAGTCACTCCCAAAATTACAACTTCAGGAAAGCTGATTTCGACGCTATGTACCAATTGTTTCACAATGCTTCCTGGAATGACCTGGAATCTCTTGATGATGTCAATATGGCTGTTAAGCATTTCTATGATAAAATATATAATATTTTTGACATTTGTGTTCCAAAAAGAAAAAATTGCTCAAAGATATATCCTGTATACTTTACAAAACATATTATTAAAGATATAATAATAATAATAATAATAAAAGGACTTTATTAAAAAATTGAAAAAAAATACAGATACAATAAGTTGAATACATAATTTTAAGTAAGGTTGGTATAAAGAACGGGTTGCTACCCCGTGGCGAAGTCTAGCACCAGGAGCTATTTTTACTCAACCACAAAGTAGGCCCATTACTTTATGTAAAATAAAACAGGTGTTCCCAAATGGTACCGCACCAATTAAAAAAATTCCATTTTTTGTTGTTTTATTAGTTGTTTTTTTCTTGCTCTTCCATGCATCGACCATCCCACAGCACAACATTTCACTATCACTCCAATCTATCTTTTTCTTTATCTATTATTATGGGATTGAATAGAAAACAGAAACTGCCGGTATTTAATCTTAAATTGATGTACATTTAGTTGTTTTAATTCATCTAGAGTCTCATTATACAATTTAATGGCATTGTAAATGCAGCTCCTTTGATACACACAAGTTCTGAAACGAGGGACCTGATACTGCTTTTTGTGTCTAATGTTTACATTATGAAGAGTGGACCGAGGAATAAATTTATTTTTTAGAGTAAAGAGAGTAAAGAGAAGTTGAGAACTAAGATTAAGAGGACAAAAAATATAGAAACATATAATCAATTTATTCAATTAAGAAACAAGATAAAAAACGACATAAAGAAAGCACACAAAGATTATTTGCTTGAAGTTCAGCAAGACATCAGCCAGGATTCAAGGTCATTTTGGCGATATGTGAATAACAAAAAGAGTGTTGTTGGTATACCTAACACAATGCATCTAAATAATTTGCAACTTGTTGATGGTAAATCAATATCAAATGCGTTTGCTGCATATTTCAGTTCAGTATATGCCAACGATCCTGAACACTCCGACATTCATGATGTACTGAATGACTGTCAGGTTTTTGATGCTTTGTGTTTGGACCAAATCAAATATAAGGATGTTTGTGATGTTGTCAGAAGCCTTAAAGTTAACAAAGCAGTTGGTCCGGATAATGTGCCATCATTTGTTTTTAAGGGAATGATCGGTTTTTTGGCAGAGCCACTTAGGATTTTGTTCAATCTTTCACTGAAAACAAACACTTTTCCTCAAGCATGGAAAGAGGCAAGGATTTGTCCTATATTTAAAAAAGGTGATAGCTCGGATGTGAAAAATTATAGGCCTATATCACTGTTGTCGTGCCCCGCCAAAATATTTGAGTCCATCTTATATAAGTTTATATACAATTTTGTAAAAAACAAGATATCAGCCAGACAACATGGTTTCTTAAGTAAGCAATCTACGGCTAGTAATTTGTGTGAGATGACTCAGTATATTGCTGAGAGCCTTGATGGAAGATGCCAGGTCGACGTAATATACACAGATTTTGCCAAGGCTTTTGACAGAATATCGCATAGCATCCTTATACAAAAGCTGTGCAATGAGTTTGGTTTTCATGACAATCTGGTGGCTTTTTTTGAGTCATATTTATATAATAGACCACAGCGGGTTGTTGTCAGGGGTTACTACTCCGATTATTTTTGTGCAACTTCAGGTATCCCGCAGGGCTCCAACCTCGGACCATTGCTCTTTCTATTGTATATAAATAATTTGGTTGATGAAATTAGTGGTACAGAAGTATTATTGTTTGCAGATGACCTAAAACTATATTCAAGAGTTAACAACTACAATGACTGTCAGTATGTTCAGAAAAATTTGGACAAATTATATCTATGGTCAATTAAAAATAAATTACAATTTAATATTGACAAATGTTTTGTGCTTAGTTTTAGTAGAAGAAAAACGCATTTTAACTATGAGTATACAATGAACAAGAGGGCACTGGCTAGGGTTGCAGAAATGCGGGATCTTGGAGTAATATTTGACACCCAGCTTACATTCAGAAGTCATATAAATGACATAACAAGTAGGGCATCTAAAATGTATGGATTTATTGTCAGAAATTGCAAAGAGCTCAATATATTGTGTGTTAAAACTCTGTATTTTTCATATGTGAGGACTATATTAGAATATTGTTCTATAATATGGAGCCCGTGTTATGAGAATCATAAATATAGTATTGAAAAAATTCAAAATAAATTTTTGAGATATTTACACTACAAGGAAACAGGGCGATACGAAATGCATATACCAAAATTAGAAATCATGAAAGCTCATAATATACAAACGCTTGAAGGCAGGAGGAAATTTTCTACAATTATATTTCTTTATAAAATATTAAATAACATGATAAATGCTCCTTATTTGTTGAACCAAATTAAATTTTATGCTCCGACATATAGAACACGAAATCCTTTGAGCTTATATACTGATAATACTCGAACTAATTACTACAACAACTCGCCTGTTATTGTAATGTGTAAATTATACAACCAAATGCGCCTACAATTTGATATGTGGAATTTAAGTTCTGTAAGTAGGCTGAAATTAATACTTAATGATATATTTGTACAAATGTAGATTTTAATGTTAAGTTACTCTCTCGATGACTCTTTACTTTATATTTTTGCTTCCACTTAGGTTAGTCTTCTACCCTACTCTGTAACTGGATGTAAATCTGTAGAGTTTGTAATGAATAAATAAATAAATAAATAAATAAATATAAGGCCTATTCGGGTTTGGAAAAAGGACGGTTCTAGAACGGTTCAAAACAATCGTCCAGTTTATTGATCAACAAAATAACAAGGACTCGACTATCACAAATTTCAATAATAAACTGTGCGATTCTTCTGGACCGTTCTAGAACCGTACTTTTTCCAAACCCTTCCATCAATCAAAATGTGAAAAAAATGTTTTTTTCAATTTTCAAAAAAAAAATTAATTTTAATATTTATGCAAAAATTGAATTTTGATCAAAAAGACGTCAAATGAGTCTTGATTTACCACCCTAACACCTTTGATAAAAAAAATACTTAGCAAAATAAATTATAAAAAAAAAATCAATTTGTTTCAATTTAACCCCACACACTTCTTATGGGATTTTGAGATACAGTCAATTTTTCTGAAAATGTGATATGATGCTCCTCTCAACATTCTGATTAAAAGTGTTCATAGCCACAACTTGATCCTACGAATAGTTTTCGAGATACAGGTAGTTCAATGTCCAAGAAATGCACACATTTTATATGCATTTACATCTACCTGTCACCTAAAAATATACCAGGATTGATAGGTATCCCTAGGCTCAGGTGACAGGTAGATGTAAATGCAGATAAAATGTGTGCATTTCTTGTTCATGCTGTGATTAAACTATACCTGTATCTCGAAAACTAGTCATAGGATCAAGTTGTGGCTATGAATGAATTAATCAGAATGTTGAGAGGAGCATCATATCAAACTTTCAGGAAAATTGACCGAATCCCAAAATCTCATAAGAGGTGTGCGGGGTCCTTTGTATAGAATATTGGAAAGTAATTAAAAAAATATCATGAGGTAATATTCAACCCTCTAGCCCCTCTGATAAGGATGATAATAGCAGGGATGATAGACTAAACTTGTTTTTTCCCTAATTTTCAAAAAATGGTTTAGTTAAATGTTGATAGAATATTGGAGAGTTATTAAAAAAAAACATCAAACCAACCTTGATTTATGCTCTCAATAGATTGTGAAAAAATTGATATTTTTCAATTTTTTAATTTTCAAAAAAAAAAAACACTTGAATTTTAATGAAATATTGAAGAGTAATAAGAAAGACGTTGAACAAGTCTTGATTCACCCCCCTGTCCATAGCCTCTCTAATAAGCAAGGGGGAGCCAAAATAAATTTAATTTCCAAAAAAATATCCTTAAATTTTGATAAAATACTGGAGCATAATTAAAAAAACGTCCAATCAGCATTGATTTACTCCTATAGCTCCTCTGATAAGGAAGATCGCCAAATAATTTTTTCAAAAAATTGATTTATTCCAACTTTTTCCAATTTTCAAAAAAATATTTCACTTGATTAAATATTGAAAAGTAATGGGAAAGACGTTAAATGAGCTTTGATTTAGCCCCTCTGACAACCACGGGGGAGTCAAAAAAAAAATTATTTTCAAGAAAATGTGCTTGAATTTTGATAAAATATTAAAAAGTAGTAATTGCAAACAACAAGGAGCTCACTTCATGGATATTGAAATTACCTGAAACACGTTGAAAAGCAAAAACTACTTGAAACTGCAGTCTAAAATAGATGGATCTTTTCCAAGAATTTTATAACGATTACTGAGAACGTGGGACAAAATAAAAATGCCAGCTTATCTACAATTGATAAGCAAATGTTCAATCGTTTGTTGCAGGAAATTGGGGCCCCAAAAAAGCACATTTTACCACCAACTAAAAAAAATTACCGGAAACCCAACGAAAGGGCCAACGAGTCTTTACAGCTAACCAGAATACAAAAGCCTTCTATAGGGCCCCAAATAACGATCGATACAAAACCAGTCGACCATGTGCTGCAAGGCAAAAGGAAGATGGCTGATGATGCTAACCACGCCATCGAAAAAAAAAAAAGCTGAAAAATTCCTGATTCTTACCGATAACTTCCTTCTGTTTCGGTGGTGTTTTAGCTGGCTCAGGCTGCTGCAGCTGTTGTTGGGGTGGTTGTTGTTGCTCCGCTTCAGCCATGGTGGTGTTCGGGCCCGGTGGAAGATGTTAAAACCGCTACCTCACCTTCTTCGGTGTTCTTTCTTCCCTAGTCGAACTCAGGTTGTTAAATGATCTTGCCGAAGCTCCACATTTTCTCCGGTATAAATAAACTCGGACTGCACCTAGTTACGACCCGAAGCGGCGCTTTCTGTCTTTGTTGGAGGCATGTTGTATTCGTATATCGCTTCTTTGCTGGTACGTTGAAAGTGCAAATTTTGAGAGTGTGCGCTTCGGTTGCCGTTGCCCTCAACTGACAATTGAAAAAACAAAGTTACTAGAAATTCGTGGAATATTCGCTTTTACCTGGGAAAATTGATGTTTTTTGAACGAGTTTCAATTCAATCTAGTTTTTCGATGAGTTTTTCACTAGGAAAAATGTCTATTTTTATGAATTTACCAAAATTTAAAGGGCAATGACCTTGTTTTTAGGTAAATATTTTTCTTTAGGTTGGTAATAGTTGGCCTTGCAACTTTTAAAATACAAAACCCGTGGCTCCACGCTTCGAGTATTCGCCGCACTAGTTGAAAATCAGTGTTTATTTTACAATAGAATTTTAATTAAACGTCTCATAATTTATTGTGCGTTAAAAACCTACCTTTAAAAAACAATTAATTGATATTTAAATAATGTCTAAACAAACCTTAATTTTAAAGTTTTTCTTTATTTAGTTTAGCTGATTACGTAGAGATGGCGCCAGCAGTGTGTTTTTTTTAAGTCGGATTTTTTAATTTTTAAATAATAGGCAGCAGAACCATAGCCAATCTGTCAAATATGTGTTTGTTTTTTTTAAGCTATTCATATTTTATTATACAGGATGTCCCAGCCAAAACGGAAGCTTTTTAATAGCTAATATCCTCTAAGGCTGCCATATTATTCTGATAAAAAAACGGGACATTTGTATGAAGAAGATGTTTCATGTATTTACGGAAAAAATAGCGCCGCAGGCGATTTTTTTTCGGGACCATGCTCGTAGGCCGAACACACGGATAATATAATACACTACTACTAAAAGATAGCTTATCCTGATACGGCCTGTGCAGAACAAATTTGAAGCCCCCTACCGGCCCTACCCCACCAAATCACCATTTGTGACGTAGACAGCATGGCGTTTCTCGCCTTGACGTAGGCTGTTTACACCACAGGTTATGATTCCACGGGCTTAACATTTTAAAACAACGTATTTACTATTTTTCAGATCTCGTTTGCATCTTCCTATTTGCCTATTATGTTAATCAAAATTAAATGATATTTTTCATGATAAATTGAAATTCTAAACTACGACTGCTGGCGCAAACAGCTGACGTCGCTGGCGACTTAGTTGATGACATGGGCAATAGTGATACACGAATATGGCGGCGATTACCAAAAACGAGGCCGATAAGCAATCCTTATAGTGGTATGTATTATCCTTGGGACGAACTCGCCAAATTCTAAACTGTCAAATGTCAAATACTGTCATTAGCCTAGTACTCATAACTGCGAAATTCGCACTTTTTTGACATTGCTTTGACAATTTGACGTTTTATGCGTGTATCAAACGTCAAATTGCCGAAGCAATGTCAAAAAAAGCGAATTTCGCAGTTATGAGTACAAGGCTTAACACACCACGTTGCGATTTGCTGAGACTAGAGATGAGGCGCAAAAATCGATTTATTTATGCCACCGCACACGCTTTTTAAAATCTGGACATTTATTGTCTGGCTGCTAAAGGCCGTTTTACAGCTTGCAAGAAAACTTGAATGCAATTTTTTGCGTGCAAAAAAATTGAATTCAAGATTTCTTGCACGTCGTTTTACACCTTGCAATTTTACTTGTTTCCTTCTCTAACCTTTAACCATACTTTTTTGTTTTAAATGTTGTGTTATTGATGTTTATTGCATTTTCCGAATATAAAAAAAGTGATTATAAGTCGATATAAGAAAAAGAAAGGAATATCAGCAGCTTTAAGAATCATAGTTGCTGGAAATTCCCCAGCTTGCATCAAAACCTTCAAGAAAAATGGCACCAAACCGATTGCATGCAATGCCATTCAAGTTTCAAGAATCTTGCAGAAACCAATGAGCTGACTCACTTCTGCGAATGCCCTCGTTCAAGTTTCTTGCATATTGCAGATAGAATTGCAAGCTGTAAAACGGCCTTAAGGAATTTGCTGCTTTGCCAAACTTGACGGAAACGATAATAAACAAGTTGGTGACATATTTTTTTTGCTATGTAGGCATGTGCGTGGCATTTTAAAAAAGAAAAAAAACCGGCAACATTGCGAAATGATGGATGTGGAGAGGCGTGATTATTCAGAGGTATGATTCTATTGGTTAGAGCTTAAGGTTAGAGCCTGAACGACAGCACAGTGATGTGGTTATTTTCGAAACTTAAAAAAAAATTCTAATAATTTTATTGGTTCATTTCCTTGGTGTTTTCGGTGCCACTACTGAACTTAAAGACATGGCTGTCATCAAGCGATGTCAGTTGAGGTGTCAGTATTCTTAGGTTATACGCCCCACTTTTCTTCCCCCTTTCGTCTCTACCAACTTACCGCTTGCCAGACTATACACGTCCCGACAACAAAATTGGGGACGCGAGACATGGACCTTGAAATAAGGGAGTAAGGGACTGTCCCGTATAATACGGAACGTATGGCAGGCTTAAATCCTCGAAACTAAAGGCCAATTTCTTAATAGCGAGTCTCCCCCGGTACCACAAAGTCTGTTTTTTTCTAAGATAATTCCCCAAGTCAAAAATTTAGTAACTATGTTGGCAACACAAGCCTTTTCTACAAAAAAAAATTGAAAGCATTGACAATTTTACATTGTATTGCCAACAATAATGTCATTTTGACTTTTATCTTTGAAAAAAATAGACTTTAACTCCATGGCGAACCTTGCATTCCCTGCAACTCTGGACAGTGGACACACGCAGTGTTGCCAACCCTTTAGAATAAAATTTCCCACTCGAATGTGTAAAAATTCCCAAATTTTCCCACCACGCAAAATGAAAATTCCCCAGGATTTGGTTATCATTCATGGTTACCAGGTCTGTTCCAACACGTCAAAAAACCATCCCATGAACAGTTTGAAAACCACTCTGTATACGAATTTTGGATTCTACGCACAAATTTTAGGCTTTGCGCAGAATCGTGAGGTACATAGTACGGTTTCCTGCTGTGTTGGAACAAAGCTCATCAGCTAATTTCCAGTCGATCAATTCATTTGTCAATTAGGATAAAAGTTCAGCTTATTAAAAAATAGGTGGGCAACTGTAAATAAGTAATAACCGTTTTAGAACGGTTCTCATGTCGGTTGGAACAGAGCTATTGGCTGTGACAGCTTACAGCTCCTTACCTTACAGCCTGGATATGGAGCCATCTCGTAGCAGAACGCTAAACGTTATTGGTTTAAGTACCATCACAGGTACCATTAAGATAGAATGTCACAGAATCAGCGTTGCCAGACTCAAATATGGAAGCGTGGTACACAATGCTCAAAAACTGTCGTACAGGGACGTACGCTCCACGAATACTTGTGGTACACACATTGAGTACACATTACCTTACATAATATATTTTTCCTACGAGCGTGCGCAAAGTAGTACTTTTCCGCACGCATTTCCGGGCTCAAAGTTACACTTTTCCGCACTCAGTGCGGATACGGGCCTTATCCGCACTGAGTGCCGAAAAGTAATTATAATTGTCAAGCAACAATAAGTGCACCTGTCGACTTTGACGCATGATGACAAATTTTTCCTCTTGTTTCTATATCAGCAGCCAACATCTATACAAACACCAAATATAAATTAACTTTGACACATTGTCAGATTTGTTCTCTATTTATATGCAAAAATCTACAAACTTTTTCATCAAATTTAAACGCTTTAAGATGAACAGCTCTGACGAGGATTTTCTGTTATTTTTTTTTGTTATGTAATTTTTTGATAAATGCATAGGTTCCCTTCAAGTTAATTAAAAATAACAACAAATTATCGTTTTTTTTTTTAAATTTTTGTTATTACCTACCTGATATGAAGCTCGTAGGAAAAATTTTGTTCCTAACACGTGCGCAAAGTGTCTTTTCCGCACGCAAACACGTATCCGAACTCCGCTCCGCGTCGTTCGTATAACTGTGTTTGCGTGCGGAAAAGTAACACTTTGCGCACTTGTTAGGAAAATAACTATTTTCTACTGACGTTTCATAATAGCAACTTTTCGATTGTCATTTCAGTTTTGAAACGACATTCTTTTAGGCACTGAGTGCGTGAAAGTTACTTTTAGGCACTCAGTGCGTAAAAGTGACTTTTGAATGCGTAAAAGTGACTTATGAGTGCGTAAAAGTAATTTTTAAGCACTAGTGCCTAAAAGTGTCATTCATTATTCAGAAATAAAAAACAACACTAACCACATATTTGAATTTTGTTTTGTATTTATTATGAATATTGAAAATGGAATTACTGAATTGAACGTTTGGGTTACTCAAAACAGAACTTTGTGTTATTACCTACTTTCTAGGATTTTAATTATTGATGCCGAATTTTGAAAAGAAAATCGCATGAAAAGTGTCAGGTGTCAAGTGAAAGCAGGTGACAAAGATTTTGGGTGTAATCGACTTATTCACATGAAATAAAATTGTGTTTTTTTTATTATAAAATGCCAGTAGAAAAAATCTTGTATACAATACGTTACGAAACGATGTCTTTTAGTCACTCGACGTGTTGTCCAACTCGGCTTTGCCTCGTTGGACAATTTTCACGTCGCGTGCCTAAAAGACGCTCATTTCGTAACTTATTGTATAAATAGCTATTTAGTACATACCTATTCACTAAAAAGAATATGACTTTTTTTGAAAAAGCAAAAGGTTGAAAACTTGAAAATAGACCTTGCAATAAAAATTACAGCAACAGGAGTAACGGAAAATCAAATGGAACTATTTATTAAATTTATTAAGGTACTTTGTGGGTACCCACTTTGGTGGGTTCTTAAGACGTCTTTTTCTGTTGAACCGTGTTTTAAAACGTTTCAAAACTGGTTCGATTGCTACGTCATCATATCGGATCGGTGGTGATCAAAAATGCCCTGTTTTGAAACGGAGCCTGCGACATCCC